GTGCCGTTGGCAGGGGTGTGCTCTCACTGCCTGTCACTCACGGAGGCAATAAATAAACTAAAAAAAAAAAAAGCTTAAAAATTAAGTAAGGTTGAAAAATGTACTTTCTACTGTAAAGCTACTGTAAAATACAAGGTCTGCTAACTACGACCCCCATGGTGCCAGTCAGCACTGGGTGTGTCAGGAAGCCCAGGGACCACCTAGGGACGCCTGAGACACGCAGCTGTCCAGCCCGTCTCGAGGACTGCGGCCCCTTCTCTCCTGCAGGGCTGGGTGTTTTGAGGAGACCAGATACGTTGGTGCTCCGGGGAGACTGCAGAAACGGGCTTTTCAGCTTATCTACCCTAGACGCGAAGATGCTAGGACTTGAGAACATTATTTGCTGCACAGTACGTCAACAGTTTGACCCTTCTTCCCTTGAGATGTCACGACTGGCAGGTTATCTCGGGGACAGGACCAAGAGACATCAAAGAGGTTGCTGCTACTTGTCCCGGCGTGACCGGGCATGCAGGCAGCCCTGGGGAAAGAGAAGCTTCCACTCACGTTGGGGCGGCTGGGAGTCGAAGGGCATCATCATTTTTGGTCTCATTCCCCGCCTTCCAGCCAGTGTAGACATGCTATCCTCTGACTCGTGCCCTAGACATCAACACAGAGGCAGATGTAAGTGTGTGCCCGAGGCCAGCAGTCACAGCTCTGGAGTGGGTCTACTGGGGACGCGGGACGCACAGACAGCACAGAGGAACAGGGCATTTCTGCAGGGAGCGAGGCAGAGGGGCAGCCGGTCATCAGCGCAGCCGGTCATCAGCGCATTACAGGCATCCCTGCTGGAATCGGCGTGGATGAGACAGTGGGGCCACCATGGTCAGGGTGCTGTCCACCAGAGCAGCCACCGAGCGCCTCCTAAACTCCACCATGACAGCCGGGCCCCATGGAGGGACAGAAGGAAATGCAGATGTGGGCTGGGTCACCTCTGATGCTTGGGCAGCCCTTTGTTGAAGCCTCACGAGGGACCTAAAGGACGGGTCCAGAACCCGCCCCCCATCACAAGCTATTCAAGCTGTTCTCCATCAGAGGTCGCCAAGCCCTCTGACACACGTCTTTAAGTCTAACCTCACCTAGAAGTCGTCAAATGAAGGTGACCTTAGAGCATGGAAAGTGACTCGGGCGAGATGCCTCCCAGGCCGGGGAAAGGCCTGCCCCGAACACGCACCTCGGTAGGAGTTCCGCCTCTGGTGGGCGCTGCCGTCCAGGGGGTTGTCGACGGGCGTGATGTCCTGAGAGTTGCGGGGAATCGGAGTATCGGTCATGATGGGGTTCGGGTCTGGAGACTTATCGATGGGCTTCAGCTCCAGCCTCTCGTGATGGATCCAGAGGTCGGGGGGCTTGACATCCTTGGAGTTGCCTTTGTACTTGTGCGAGCCGTTCACGGACTTGCAGGCGGCCCGCTTCCTAGGCACGGAGGCAAGGGGAGTTAGTTCTTAGGGGTGAGAACTGCCTTTCTGAGAGACACTTCAAACAAAGGCAGAAACTGAAATTTGAAACCAAACGAGCAGCCTCAGGCGGGGTATTTCTGGGGAGAGTAGTGTCTGCACTCTGTCCACACCTCGCTGAAGGCTGTGTCAGCGGCCGTGGGACTCCGTGAGTGACGAAGGCAGCACCTGTAGGTGCAGTAATACCTACGGCAGGAGGCCCTCCATGAGCCCCCGCTGCCGAGAAGCACGCCAGTGTAGCAGCAGAGTTGGAGCAGGGCCGATGGCTCATACGGGAGAGAGGAGGCACGTTCCAGGGGCACCCAAACGAGGACTCCCACCCAAACGAGGAGTCCACAGTGGGGACACGGTGTCTGCCTCTCCGTCCTCAGCCTCTCCTCTCCTCGCCCACTCCCTGAGCATGCATTATCCTGATGTCCGCCAGGCCCTGCGCTATGCACTGCCGTGAGAAGAGAGGCAGACACGCACTCAGCTAGGATTTAAAATGCCCGAGCTTGGTGGAACACCAAGCGTTAGACGGTGATGTCCTGCAGCTGGATCTAGGTGGCCGAGAGAAACCTGAGGGACGAGAGAGGTGAAGGACAGGAAGAACATTCCAAGTGGCAGATGCAGCTCGCAGGACGTGAGGGCACAGAGGACAGCCTGGTGCGGCTCAGGGCCTGGAGGGGCCTGGAGCAGTGCCACACAGCAAGCCAGAGTGGGGCTGGGAAGGGGGTCTGGGGGCAGATCCCAAGAATGCCTAGTCTGAACTTCCTTCCCCGAGTACCGAGAAGCCACTCGGTGGCTTCATGCAGGAGAGGAGGAACAATTTCAAGTTAAACTTCACACCCTGTGGCGTGAGGAGTGGATGCATGGGGTGGGGACACAAGAGGCCAGCTGGTATGCAACTGCCGTGGTCTCAGCTGTGACCCAAGGTGGCCGAGATGGCAGCAATAGAGGGACGAGGCAGTAAGAGCTTGGCAGGCAGGAATGACAGGTTTTGTGAGCCAAGGGGAGAGGGCAGGCGGGGGCAGAAAAGGAGAGAGAACAGTGAGGGATGCAGCCAGGGGTCCAGGCCCACGCCACTCTCAGCACAGGAACAGCGGGGTGGAAGCAGCTTTGGCTGCAGAGATGAGGGCCCCGTTTGGGTGTGCTGACCTAAACGAGCCTCCCAGACACTCCCAGTTTCTGCATTGGCCAGCTGCACGGGGAGGAGGGCGGCCGGAATGGGCCCACTGCCCCAGCACACGGGGAGGAGGGCGGCCGGAATGGGCCCACTGCCCCAGCACACGCGGGAGCGGGCGGGC